ACGATGCAGCGGTCGGCCGAGCTGTCCGTGTTCAAAGGCAAGGAGGTCAGAAGCGGGTGCGCTCGCCTCCAGAAGCAGAAGTCCCTAACCAATCTCACGCTCATCGGCGAAGGGGAGAAGAGGCGATACTCCTGCAGGGARAACTGGTTCGGAAATGCCTCCAAGTCGAGCCAGAGTTCCCAGCAGCGCGAGGCAGAGGCAGCCAGTAGGAGCTCGCTGTCCCGCTCCCTCTCCAAGTCTGTGCACTCCCTGTGCCACACCAGCCTCTCCACACCCCAAGCTTTCCAGGTGCTCCCGCCTGCCCGGAGCTGGACGCCCGGGAGATCGGCAGCCCGGCGGGCAGGCGAAGGCTTTGGGATCAATAATGAGGAAGGGGGGAAAGCGGACGATGAAAATGCGCCCCGTGCGTCCCGTTTCCCCAGCAGGAGCTGGACGGAGGAGGAGGAGGAAGGCTGCTTGCGGGAAGGGACCGCACATCTGGATGAAGATGTCATCATCACGATGCTGGGTGACCTAGAACAGGCCCTATATACTGATATTTTAGGTAAGTTAACTTCGGCTTGACATACAAAAGAGCAGGAGGAGACCTAAGTTAGGACACCTCTGCACGGAGCAGATTTCTGCTCTTGACAGTGATGTCCTGAGACAGAACTGGGCTTATTTGCAATAGTGTGCAAAAATGGGGGRTTGCCATTCCCTCCTTGCTTGCTTACTCTTAGCTCTAAACACTGTAGGAAATGAAGGCAAATGGCTAAATCACTTTTGATAGGTGCACGRGCAGCAGCAGTATGTGAAGAATTGAGCACAATTTTGTTAGCTGTTTAAAAAAACAAATCAAGACATTTAAGTGCTGTTAGCTTACTCATCAATAATTTATTTTTAATGACATTTGTTCTCATGAAGCTRAAATTGGAATCCTAAATCCAAGGTTTGGTTTAGACAGGAAAYGTCTTGGCCTACTTACAAACTGCCCAGCCATTATTCCTCCCCCCCCTCCAAGCCCCATTGCTGGAAATCTCATCCATAAACGTGGAATTATGAGCGTGAGGGTTTCACAGTTCAGTTAGATCAGGGCATGACAGGGAGCATTTGAAATCCACAGCCATAGGTGTTTCAAAGGACTTCTGAGCTCCTGGTTTTGCTTTTCATCTCTCATTGCTTTAAAAACCTGCTCCGAGTGTTTATTTCTGAGGCTTTGGTCAAGTGGGTGAAGTGTCTGCTTCTCTTCCCAGGTTGTGCAGCCTGTGTCCAGCCTGGAGGGGCTTCCCTCGTCAGTGTGTTAGGCCCTGACTGTGTGAAAGATACGGGCTTTGCGGGATATGCCAAGTAAAAAGCTCAAAGTGATGAAGAAAAACGTGACTTCTTTTGATACATTCTGTTATGAGGCTATGCCAGTCTTGGCTTTTCCTAGAAATCGAGTTGGTAGCAAAGGAAGCTACAACCTACACCGGCCTTGCTGCTGTCAGCTGTGTGACCCTGAGCAAATCCTGGCTCTCTCATGAGCCTCAGTTTCCCCACTTAGAGGCTAATACTGGTACTGAGCTTTGTTAATGAGGGAACTGCTTATTATTTGTTATTCGTTTTAGGAAAATCTGGTTAGTAAGGGACTTACTATTTTCTTATTATCTACTGTAATTACATGCACGCAAGTGTTGAAATCATCGTGAACTTTATTATTAAGTGGGCAATTATGGATAAGCTTCAGATTTGTGAATGCAAAAGTTTAGTTCAGGTGGCTTCAATAAAATATTTATTTTGATATCTTGTATGTATCTCATACAGATGAAGAAAAGATTTTACTCTAGGTATTCATTGAGGAAACCTGCTCGTTGCTTATAGGCAAGAATTGGAAACAATCATTTGAAACATTTATGTTTTATGGAAGCTACAAGTGATTTGAGCAGATAATATTTCATGGGGCCAGCAAAGTATTTCCATTGGTCGTTCATGTGAGATAAACAGAATTTTGTCAGAAATTTTTAGAAATTTTAGAAAATTTAGAAATTTTAACCGTGATGTTAGTCTTGTGTATCCCAGTCTCTCCTGGGGTAAAACAGAATTACTTTTATGTAAAATAAAAAAAAAAGAACTGCTTCAGATAACAAGTCARAGAGTGTTTCTGGCATGTTAGGTTGTGCAGATATGGGTAAGACTGTAGGATGGCAGTGGGCCATGTTAGGAAGGAGTCTGGGGGAGTGTGATCCTTTTGAACCCATATGGTGAGTCCCCATCCTGCTGCAGCCAGAAGGCTGTTTCTTCCAACATATAAAGTGTAGCTACTTTTCAGAATATAGAAAGCACTTGCCATCTCTATGGTCCTTCCCCAAGGAGGCCTGATGGAGGTGGGTGGAGGCCATGGTGCTGTCCTGAAAAAGTAGAAAAACGCCAAATGTGCAAATTAGGTTTATGCAGAAAATTTCTGTACTCRGTGCAGAAAATTTGTCAAGTCTCATTTTCTTTTTCTGCTTCGTGACTTCTTCATCRATGGTTTTACATAAGGCCATCAAAAGAGCTTTATGATAAGGACGGAAAGGAAAAAGAACAAGCATTTAAAAACACCTCRTAGTAATGAGAATTTTGTAAGTAGTACTGGACAGTATTTTAAGACCATAAAATTCCAAACTGATCTTTCTTTCTACAAAAAAAAAAAAAGGAAGAGAGATTTTGAAATTATCCCTCGTATCAGTGAGAGATCAAAGGAGATTAGACCTCAAACCTTGCACCTTTTAAGGATAGAATAATGCCACTTTGAATAAGGTAGTTTGTTTGAGAATGAAATCCCCTTTTTGCTTCTGTGAAGATGTGTTTTGTCAGTTTGCCATGTATATGTTCTTTTTTTTTTCTTGCAATTATATACCTTAAGGCTTTGTTGCACTAGTTATTGTATAATATATAATAAAAAGACAGTTGCTGTCATTTTTGCTGCAACAACTTGCAGTGTTAACATGAAGCAAAGGACAACTGGCAAGGATAAGGAAGGAAGAAAAGGGCAAAGTCATTGCAAATATGAATTATCTTCAGTTCCTCAAATAGCTGGACAAGGTTTGTATCGAACTGCCTTATTCCTGTCTGGTTATACCTTGGAGTTTGTCTTTCTGTGTATGTAGCAGAAAATCCTCTGGTATCAGCAGGGATTAGCTGTTCTTTCAGCCCTGGTTTGGGGCAGGGTTTTGGGTCTCCCTGGTGCAGCTCTTGTGGAACAATTCAGTTTGTAAGTGYTCAAAGGCTCCATCCCCAGTCAGAACTCAAAATTAAGATTTTTAAGGGCACTGTTGTTCAAATATGGTTTGCTTCTGCAGGTTCTGTCTTATATTTGAAATAAATCTGTGGTGGTACAAATGTAAAACCAGTTTAAAGAGAAATCAGCATTGTATTTATGAGCAGTGAGGATATAGTTGCTGTGTGAGCTACTCTGTCCATCTTTTCCTCAGAGATGTCACACTTGTTCAATTTTTATCCCATAAAAACTCACATAAAGCCCTGGGAGAGGGAAAAGTAGCAAGAGAATGAGAAATACTTGTGTGTGCAAATGCATTTTACATTTTACAAGTGTGAAATATCTTAGCACTGCCCAGGACTTTGTCTCTACTTRGATCTCAATTTTGCATGATGTTGAATTTATATTTGCATGTCTCCTGTTCCATGAATCCAAAGATGAATCAGTTCCTTCATGTTGCAGGACTGCAAAAAGGAAGTTCAAAGGTTGCTCTCTCTGTTGGATGAGTAGGCCGAAATTTAGAATTAAATATTAAAGGTATTTTTAGTGGTTGTACAATTTCATTATAGATTATAACAGCTCCAGAATGAGGAATAAAATTAAGTTAGCAAAGTCAGGCATGACACGAAATTTATCACTGATGGAATTAAAAGGAAATAAATTGCCCTTCATGTGCAATGCTGGCATTGTGCACATAACTAGAATAACAGTGGTTCCTGCCAACCTTCTTTCAAGCAACACATATGGGACGGAGCCAGAAGCAAGATACTAGCCGTGAACAAACCAGTGGGTTTGTCACAGATTTTGTTTCAATATTCTTTAATTCTACAAAAGAAAAGACACAAAACGATGTTAATTGAAAGTTGCTGGTATGCAAAAGGTGTTACTGAACTAAAGTTCCTCAGTATATGAATATGCTGGAATACATTCATTTCTGTATCTTGATTTATGACTACAGAATCTTTATATTGCAGATTGCTTTGAGTTTTATTGCATTTCCCTTTTTGCCGCACAAATATGCAATTTTACTTTTTTCTTCTTTTMATKTCTTTTATGTGAAGTAGATGTGATTCAGGATGCTCTGGGTGAAGTTCTGTGGGCTTTGCTCTTCAGGAAACCAGAGCAGTTTGTCCCAGTGCCTCCCTGAAGAGTGTTAAAATCCATAATTCTATAAATGATGTGTGTGCGTAGAGTGTTTTGATTTTTATCCCAAGTAAAACACATGAAAAATAATCCCTCACTTCAAGAAACTATTCCATTTGAGGAAGGATGCTTTAGTTAAGTGCCTGACTTAAAGAGTACTTTGAAATAGCCTCAATGTTAAGTGCATACTGAGAAGTTGTTGTAACAGTCATCCCAGTGCTTTCCAGACACGGATTTACTGTGGCTTTATTTCCTAGCAAGTCATGTAAAATGTCAAGGAGGAGAAAGAGACTGTGTAATGTATCAAGTGGTCTGGGACTGCATCCTGCCTTGATTACAGAGGATAACAATCCAAACATTGTAAATCTGAATTTCTTTAATATGGTTGGGCTCTGTCATGTATACTTCACTAGGACTCCTTTGTTTTTTTTATTTTTTCTTTACATATCATATTTTATTTACAAGCATATGCATGTTTTATTACTGACAGGATGAGGTTTTATTTTTAAAAAGGTTGAAAGACAAGATACACAGTCTAGAAATACAACATCTGTAAGTATTCTCCACTCTGTATGCACTTTGTTTAACCTTCTGTACTCGGTACACCAAAATATAGGCTCACGTTGTTGTTTCCTTCCAGGGGAAGACCCCGAAACAAGAAGGATGAGAACTGTAAAGAATATAGCAGACCTGAGGCAGAATTTGGAAGAAACTATGTCCAGCCTTAGAGGGACCCAGATAAGCCACAGGTACGTGGATTTTGTGTAGCCTGCTAGAACTCCAGAGTGAAGAGGGTCTCACCTGCTGTGTGACTGAGAGGCTTGCACGGGAAATTAATGGTCGTGTTGTCCATGACATTGTTTTGATTGCCTCAATGTAAGGGACGAGACGGCTGTAGAGGAGGAGTGARAGGTTGCAGAGAACCAGGTAGCCCTTATATCCAGTTACTCTATCCCTACACATGGGCACACACTCCTTGATAGAGTAATTCTCTGCTTTACGAGGAGGGCAGGCGCTCTTGCTTGGTTGCTACTTGGTCAGTTCATTTCTCGGTGCTCCTCCCTTGCATCCCTCTCTGCGTGGCTCGCTTCCTCAAYGGACTTCGTGTTTTTCTCTCCTCAAGGCCACCCCAGAGACAGAGCTATGTGCTTTGTTAAACAAGCCTTTTCTAAACRTGCTGTTAAACAAGCTGTGTGCTCTGTTAACCTTCTTGTATGGCTGGTTCAGTGTGCCCACTCAGAGCTTCTTCTAAGGACATTCCTACACCTCAACACCCTCAATGTGACTTTAATATGTTTTTATACGACAAGTCTGTCGTACAAAATGATTCGCAGAGCTGGAAATCGCTCTGTGTTTGAGCACCCATCCTGTTGTGTTCAGGTTATTTTATAGGAGGTTACCGTATTCACAAATGCCCCCGTTCCTCCCTCTCTCCCCGCGTGGCGGCCGCCTGACCGCTCCCTTTTCTCTTGGCAGCACCTTGGAGACCACCTTCGACAGCACGGTGACCACGGAGGTGAACGGCAGGAGCCTGGYGGGCCTGGCGGGCCGCGCGGCGCCCGTGACATGGCGCCTGGGCCAGGCCAGCCCGCGGCTGCAGGCCGGCGACGCGCCCTCGCTGGGCGGCGGCTACGGGCGCAGCGGCGGCGCCGGCGGCCGCTTCGTGCACGCCGACCCGGCGCGCTTCATGTACACGACGCCGCTGCGCCGCGCCGCCGTGTCCCGCCTCGGGAACGTCCCCCAGGGGGACGTGAGCGAGAAGGGCGGCGGAGAGTTGGAGATGTCCGCCGAAGTGGACGTCGGCGGCTACATGAGCGATGGGGACATTCTTGGGAAAAGTCTCAGAGCCGATGACATCAACAGTGGGTAAGGAGCGTTTTTTACCCCTTTTAAACWAATGAGTGATCGGCACTCTTAACAGGGTTACACTTAACAGGGTTAATGGAGGTAACCGTGATAACCACGGTTGGGTTTTTCCATAACAAATTTCGGCACACGAGAGCAAGTTTCGTTATGGATGCTACATGATATAAACAAAATACATGATACGTGGATAAAAGCAAAACCAAACCTCTAAGCTGACAGTGATGTTCTTACATTCTTTGAATGCACTTCTCCATTAGCATCAACTCGAGTTTGCTATTACTCCAATTACAGCAGAAGTACCCATTACTTATTGGAATTTCCCAGTTATCTAGTAAGCCGTCATTTGCTAGTGCTAATAATACCCGTCCCCCTTGCCTTGGGATGGCTCCTCTTTCAGTATTTTTATTTTTCCTTTGAGATGATAGTGGTTTTGGATGCAACTAACAGAGAACAGTTGCTGACAGGCCTGMCTTCTGTTTCCACTTTAGATGTTGTCTAGTCTGGTCTATATGATAGGCCTTTACCACAGTTTTTCAACAGTGTATATCATCTGAGCTGTAGGAATATCTTCTGAGATACAAATAGATCAGTCACTCTCCTGGCTTACCCAGGAGGAAAAATGACAATTTTTTTTATCTTGCCTGTCTATTTTTGTTTTCTTGTTCAGTTGATTGACTCTGGGAGCTGATTTCTGTCTGACACTGAGAGGGACTGCTGTACTTTTGTATGTGGAACTTGACTTGCTCTACCGAAGGAACTTTTGTTTCTTTAAAAGTCTCTATATGTGCCAGTGATTATGTTTCTGACTGATTTATGAGTATCTCTAATATAGGCCTTTTCTGTTGAGACAACCAAAAAAAAACCCACCTTAGCTTCAAATGACTATTTAAGAATTCTTATATCAATCATATGAACATAAATCACTTAATTTCTGTCTATGTCAGAACTCCTAAAGCGTCAAGTAAGAAAAAAAAAGCACCATGTTAGTGATTCATCCCTCTCTGACTTACCCATCAATGCTGTCTAAAGTGTTACTTTAGTGGAGTTTACTTGAGTTTTTGGCACTCAAGGCTGCTTGGTAACTGAGGGAGCATTGGTTGGAATGGAAATCCCACAGCCACATCACTACTGGGCACTGTATATGTGTGGCACTCCTGCTGCCTATGTAATCTGTAGGGCTGGTGTGTAGCTATGATGAAACAGTGTGTAAGCAACAGGATGTGATGCACTCCTAAAATAAAGGTGAGTCCGTGATCAGAGCTTGRTTGGTGTAGTATCTCACCTCAAGTAACATCCAATGGTGGATAGCTAGAAGGAGATACAAGAAAACAAATATATTTCTGTCTTTCCTGATACGTTTTCTCTGTGATGTGTGGATGGAGTCTGGCTGGGAAGTTTGTCCATGGCAGAGCATTAGAGGCTGTCAATGGGATGTCCTATTCAGGTGTGCCAGAACAGACAGTGAAGTGAAGGGAATTAGGAGCAGGAGCTCAGAGTCACTAACTGCAGTATCCAAATAGAGAAAAGCAATCTTGAACATATAAGACTTCAGTGTCTTAAGACCCTGTTTCCAAAAAGGAAGTATAAATTATGTCTTTGATGGATGTATAGCCTTATTAAAAAAAAAAAAAGAAGAAAAAGGAAAAAAGGAGGAGAAACCCTTTGCAGTGCCTGATGAGTTGTATTAATTAGCTTATCACATTAGAGAATGAATATAGTCATCTTGTTGTGTGAGTTTTCTTTGCATCTGTAATAAGGATGACTCAGTAGACAGTCGCAGTGCTCAGCTCACATTTTGAGGTATGCTAAATGTTAAAGTAAGTTAATATGCTCTGAAAATTCAGGATTCATTGAGCCATGTAAAGTCTTATCTCCCTTATTCCTCGCCCATTTTCAGTTTAATTACTTTAAACACTTGGGGTTAGGAGTGCAGCAGTAATTAGAAATCAGTTTGAGAAAGGCCTGTTGCGCTTGTTAAGCCTCTTCACTCAGACCTTATTTATACAGGGAAAAAAATTCCATATAGCCTGAATTTCACTGAAACTGCTGCTCAGTTTAGTATACCATCYCAGAGCCTTGGCCTCTACTGCACAATTCACTTCTCGATGTGTAATCTGTCAGAGAGTCCAAACTGTGACTTTAATAAAAGGGCAAATGTAAGTGTAAGGTGGAGTAGTATTTTACCTTTGAGGGAAAGTGCAAAGCTCTCTTCTGCAGGCTGCAGGAACCAGGGTTTCAGAAAGCCCTGTCCTCACCCATATACGTTGAGAGGCACCATTCTATAGCTCTGGGAGAAGGAGTATTGCAGATTATRTGAGCTGGCAGTGAGCCCCAGTCAGTCGTTTTATCCCTCCTCCCAGGACTGGGACAGCACCCTTCTCAGGAATCTTTTAAATTTACCAGGAATAGTTTCCCTGGGATATTCCTAGATTTCTATTTCTGGGCAGGTATATCCATATTAATATTATAACTAGTGCAGTGCCATAGAAGTGCGTGGGCCGTTACAAAGAAGGGTTTGCCAACTGTGTAGCAGGTTACTGCACTGAAGGTCCCATAAAAACAGGAAGAGGGAGAGGCAAAAGGAAGAGCAGAAGAAGAAGGATGGTTTAATGTAAGGTATTCTGAGAAATTATGGCCAGATCTTCAGAGCTAGGCAGGTTTGTTGGATGGCTCAGTCATAAGCACCAAAGTTTAAATCCCTTACAGAGACAAATTGTAGGTAGGCGTTTCAGGAATTACTGCTGCTGCTTGAAACTTTTAATAGCTTTCTAGTGAGTAAGCGCTGCTGCACCTTCCCTTTGATTCATTAGTGGTTTATTAGAAGGTGAAGTGGTAGAATCAAGAAGGAGCATGGATATAAACAACAGGTTATTTAATTGATTTTGTAAGGGCTGCAGGGGACATCTACCCTCATGTGTGAGTGACTGCATGTGAGAAGGGGCTACAAAGCTGGGTTCTCAGTTTTGGTTATCTACTCTTCCACCTAAATGAGTGGCACTGTTTTCTCCTTTTCCCCCAGAGTTAAGTTTCTTGCATTGGATGCAGCTCTTGGACAAGACTGCAGTGGTTGAAGTCAATTTAGGGAGATACTTGATGGCCTCATTCTAAATAGGTTTTCACAAAACAGGATTCTAAGACACTATAAAAGGCAAAAGTTGCTGGAAAATAAGCATGTAGCTCATCTCACTGCAATGGACACACAAGCTGGGACTATTTAGAAGAAGTTTACGAGCTAATAGGGCAGCCCTTGCTTTAGACATTTGAATTCTACAGTMAATTAACTTCAGAGGGAAACACGGTTGCCAGATGGCTGCCTCTCCCACTGATTGACCACACATTTATTTTCAGGTACTTGACAGATGGAGGCCTCAACCTATATACCAGAAGCCTGAACCGAATTCCAGACCTGGCTGCTTCTCGAGACGTCATTCAGAGAGGGGTTCATGACGTGACTGTGGATGCTGACAGGTAACTGCTTTGTTTAGTGTGAAACTGTCTGAGATTTTTCAGATATTTTTTTCATCCTTCATACCTGCTAACATATCAAACTCTTATTCATGCAGAATAGCAAATGAAAGGTTTCTGAAACTGSTACTTTTCCGGGTACAGGGCAGAGTATGTCAAGTACTGCAGTGGGAAAAAGTTAATGTCTCAGAAGAAAAGAACTCAGAGGAGGAATTTATTCTTGAAAATATAAGCAAAATATTGAGAAGCCCAGAAATGATCTTCAATCTCAAACCTCTGAAAYAGGGCAGCAATTTCGCAGGTTGCCTTGCCAACTGGTGGATGTGGGGCAGGGAAGAGGCCCAAGTGCAGAGGAGCCTGCGTGTGCCTGATGCAGCAGGTCTGAACTCCAGGGCTTGTCTGGGGCAATGACTCTCTCCTCTTCTCCTCCCATTTGGACYTCTGCTGGTGTTAGAAGAAAGCAAGACCCTTTGGAAGTGAGGATGGAGTTATATCCAATTCTCTGTGCTGTTGAAAAAAATGGAGGAAACAGTGGCCTGCCCTTACAAACTCGCATACAGGCGTAGGCATAAAAATGTGCTCCCACTGCTACCTGTCCAGGTTAAGCAGGGGTTTTCTCTCAAAGGTTTTCCTTGAGGTGAAAGCAGATTCAGACATTGCGGCTTGTGTCCACCTCTGGGAAATATAAACACACAACTCAGCTTTTGCAGAACCTACAGATGTTGGCTCTGGGGGTTTGATCAGACCATCATATAGATAAAGAGCAGCTGCAAAGTTTGGCAGCCTTCAGATTTAGGGGTTTGRTTTCAGTCCCATCTTTCTCTAATCAGTTTTCCCATAAGGAATAAAACGTGTTTAGTCATGAAGGGATGAAGGGTTCAAAGAATGGCTTTTGYTTTACAAATCCAGCAAATTAGTTGAAGAAGTTTTAGGATATTAACCTATCCATGATATTATATTTTACTTTTCATGGATTTCTGATGAGAGTRTATCCATGAAACAGATCAGATACAATCTGCTTAGTCAAATATTGAATACTGTGCACTTGGATAAAGAAGACAGTTTTCATCTATAGATCCAGTTAGTTAAAAAAAATCTTTCTTTACATTATCATTTGTTGACCTTGCAAAAAAAGTCTTTTTTAGATAGTAATTCAAGTGAACACTGGTTGGCTCTTTGGAACGCAAGCACTGGTGTGATGCAAGGAGCAGAGAGTGTGCGGTGGGCGTTTAAGAAAATAGTTTGGATAGAACTCAGCAACAGAAGGAGAAAATGAGAAATGAGATGTGGGCAGGAGGACATTTGTGGAGCTGTGTATGTGAGAGTGAGAACCTTAAGCTTAAAGTGAGAGAGAGGGTGGAAAATTTGGAGGATGGGAATCATATAATTAAAGTCAGAGAATGCTGCTAGCACCCACATTTTTGTGCTTCTCCATGGCTTTTGTTCACTTGGGACTCAAGGATATTATGAGTCTTCCCACAGTGCAATATTCACACCCAGATTTCAAACCACCCACTTTTTCCCTGGAAAATGTAGGTCCAAATTTAGAGATTTTAAAATTTTACTCATATTCTTCAAACTCTAGCTGTCACTTGAGAAATCAAAGGTTTGGTTTTGTGTTCAAGAGTTATGTATGTGTTAATTTGATCTGCATAATCTGCAGGTACTTAGATGTTTTGCATGTTACTACAAGGAAACTGTCATCAGTTCTCTATTAATAAGATTATCCAGCACTTCCCAGTACACAGATCTATTTTGGTTTGTTTATATAGTTTTGGCTGGCTAGRAAATGTAAGGCTAAAAACTCCTGGGCTGTTTCCGAGTCTTTCATCTCCGAGACTAGCGTCTGTTACGCTTTGGAGCAGGGACTTCAGATTTGTCAGGAGATTTATTTTGAGTCAAAGATCTAGTCTGGAGAGGAAAAATGTCCAACTTTACACATACAAAAAAAAATGGGATTCATGCATATTCAAGAAAGATTTATTTGATCTCAGCAACTTAAATTTCCATATATTTCGTCTTCACTGTACGTTCTCAAACTGCTCTTGGCATTAGCAAATTGCATGAGCAAGCCCCAGATTTTTGAGTTTATGGTTACAGATGTGAAGTAGGATATATTTTATAACTGTTTCCCTTTGCACCGAGAACAAAAGACTTCTTTTTTTTTTTTCCTGGCAATTCTGAACCCCCCAAAAGAGGTGTCATGGAAAATATTGTGTGCTATCATGTAATTAAAGATATTATCATTATGAACAAGTATAAGGGATTTAAATTATGGCTGTTTGGCAAGTCTTTTCAATGCTTCATTTTAATGCAACCTTAATCATGCTCTTTTGATACAGCTTTTTGTTTGTGTGTGTTATAAGTGTATGCTATGCCTTAAAGCAGCAAGAAGGTGGTTATGAGGTGTGAAAAATTGCTTATTTTTATGAGTTCTGAGAATAACAGAATTCATGCTAGCCAAAATGGTTCATAAAAAACTGTAGTAGGTCACTAAAAAAAAATTGCTTATCCTGTTCTTCAACAATGTATCTTACATTTAYGATATGAAATCAGGTGGCAAAAGCAATACTGAGACTGCTGAGATTATTTCTTTGTTTGGCAAGGTAGGTTTTGGTCCTTAACAGCAGCCCAGGTACCTGCAATTTTGTCTTATCCCGTGTAGCATTTTMAAGATGATTTTGCATTCTGAGGAAAAAATAACAGGGTTTGTGTCAAGGCCTCAAGGAATGCCGTGTCACTGGATGCTGCACTTCCATGGAAGAGGACTGTTGCCCTTTCSCTCAGCCCTGCAGTCTGTTGAAGGACGTGTGCCTGCTGTATATATTATCATCGATATTTTGTCATAATTGGCAAGATTTTCCATGGCCTTTCCCTTGTAAAGGACTGTGCTGGCATCTCTGTGCAGGGAGAAAATAAATGATACGCTGCAAATATCTAATTTACATGAACAGGAAGCAAGTTTCAGTGTTCTGTCTATCCCTACAGCCTGCAACTTTTGCTGACAGCAGCTTCATGTTCCTGATGATAATTGAGCTTAGGTTTTCTCTGACAAGCTCAGTTACAGCTTCTGTGAACAGCTTACAGCTTTTTCTTAGCGAGCTGTCTGTAGGTAGGCTGGGCTAATGATGTTTCCAAGGGTAATGCCACTCCAGGCAAAGGTGTGCTTTCAATCCGATTCTTATTTCATGGATAAGCCAGCATTAAATTATGAAATTTAAGGGTGTGAAACTGGTGTAAAAGAAAATCGGGTCCACAGCTTGAGTGCTCCCACTGCAAAGAGTTTGAGGTTCAGGCTGCTGCTTTGCAGCGCTCTGGTGAATGCCAGAGAGCCAGTTGCTGCAGGGCCTCCCTTAGGCAGCCCGCTGAGGTGGCTGAGCGTGTGAGCACTCCTCCACGCTCAGAACGATTGTGGAATCGTTCACGGGACAAGCAGTATTCTGTTAGCGATAAAAAGCAGAACGTGGGAACACAGCGTGAGCTAAGGCCCAGGCATTGCTTGTGTGCTGCTCTAGAAAGTGTTTTGCTTTGAAAGGGAACACAGTGAAATTGCTTGTTGTGCTGCAAGAATTGGGGTGGTTCAGTGAGAGGATGAAGGGACACCGAAGGGCACTAGATTTTGACAGTTGTATTTTTCTCCTTTACTTTTTTTTTTTTTCTCCTCTAATTTGGACATGTATTTTCCATCTCCAAGTGCATCTTTCTTGTAAGTTACCTCGCTCCAAACACCATAAGAAATCAATTTAGAGTAGGAAGATGAATGGTCTGCTGTGGGTGTGACATGGGATGCGCCGGGGAGAGTTCTCTGTGGGATGCTATTGCTTTTCATTTATTGTTCTGTCTTCCTCCTCCTCATTCTAGCATCTGCCCCCTGGGACTCTTAGAGGGAGTATTTGAGGAATATTCTTGGAGTTCAAAACCTTTTTCAGAGTAACATGAGCCAAAAGAGATTAGACATAAGCAAACAGAATGAATTATGTTCTTGGGGAAAAAAAAAACCAAAACAAATCAAACGGGTCTATTGAAAAGTAAGTTGCAATAGTCCCAAACAATCCTGTGTTGTCTATATAATTTTTAAAAGGTAGTTTAATCAATCCCTTTTAGAAGGGGATGCAGCTCCACTGAGTTTTACCACGTTGTCCTGCCACCCCCATGTACCAGGTGAATTTAGCACACAGTAGCAAAAGTTGCAGGTTCCTTYGCTTTTACAGCAATAAACGTACAATCAGTTCCCCTCTCATCCCCTCCCTGCACYTTTTCCCCCTTTGCCTCAAGATGAAGCTTCTTGGGAAGAAGCTTTAGTGGGAGCTGCTGCCTCCGCTGCCCCCTTGCCCTGCTCCGAGCCCCGTCTGCCCCGTCTCCGAGCTCACAGGCACAGGGAGTCTTTAAAATGCCTGCAGCATCTGCCACATGTGCACAAGATACTTGGCAGCTATCGTAGCCTCGCTCAGGCAGGCCTGTTAGTCCTCGGCCAAACCATAATCACCGTAGTACATTATTAATTATAATTATAATGAAATAATCTCAGAGATGGTCTGTAGTTTATTAGCTGACTTCCTGCCTGAATGACTATAAGTCTTTTCTGGTATTTGTTTGAGCAGATGAATCTTGAGTTGGAATATTACATTTTTTGAAGTTCAGGGCATTGAACCTGGGGCTTTGCTTCGTAGTGTTGGTAGCAGAAAAAAGCCAAAATAAATCACAAGGAATAACTTAAAATCCTAGGAGCAGACCGGGCTAATTGCTAATGTCATTGGGGATTTAACCCTTTGGGATGCTGTCCAGTGGGCAGGCAGAAGGTCAAGTAGATACTTTTGTTTCTTACCTCTGCTGCTTTCTGGGGGAAAAAATCAAGAGTTCTGCTGTTCTGAGCTTGGTAGTGAGTTTTGCTGCACCTGCCTTCATTGCTAACTCTGCCTGGGGTTGCTGGTGTGTGCCACAAATTTAAAAAGCTATTACAGCTCTTAAAGCCAGCTTGGTTTACCCAGTCATGTGATCTGCTA